CGTCAGCGCGTACCACCTTAGGGCTGCCATACAACGTACTAGATCAGATGTCCCCAGAAATAAGACGATAAAACTGCCAACAAACTTCCAGTTGGGACCAGCCAAATTCAAAGGTTTGAGCTCTGAAGGTTGACGACAACGTGTCCAATGTTACTGCCTTCGATCCGACACTGTTACCCAAATGGAGACGTCCAAGACGGGGGTTAGCACAAAACCTGTTTCGGCCCAGTCCGTCAGGACATGGAAATGCTTCTTGGAACTTCGGTATTCTACCTCCGGCGTTAGCGAAGTTAATGGATTGAACGGCCCAGGTCTGCTACCAGGGATTATCACACGTGGAGAAGTACCATCCGAGACATAATCGAAGCTGGCTACGTCAGCCACAACAGGTGATAAATTAAGTAAGTACTTCATAATGTGAAAAATATATCTAGAAATTTTAAAAAAGAGCGTTGTCCATATAAATGATCGGCATATGTTTACGGCATTTAACTTAATGGGCACTAGAATAAATATTTTTCTAGCGGGTAGTGAGTCTAAAACCAATAATCCTTTAACATTCACTAACCCGCCCCTCAACTTGTGGTTATAAAAAGTCATCTGCAATGAAAGAAATTTCTCGGGGATCATAATAAATAAAAGCCATATTAATCGGAACATTAACTAATCTCTGGTATGATTGGTAGAGAGTCAGCATCTATGCATTAGAAACTTGCATTTTGTGCTCAGAACCAAAGTAGTGTAAGCTTCTAGTTTCTTTTCTTCGTGTATCCCAATTGTTCAGGTACCCTATAATGCCCCTAGGACAAAAGTTTGCAAATCTCATCCATGTACGGAAATATTTTTTACCCATACCTTCCATAGAATTTAAACATATCGTTGTTTGTACTCATTCTTACCTATTTTAAAAGAACCTTTAGGGAGCTTGCAGGAACGAAAAAAAGGTTTTTCAACTAAACTGGCTAAAAGACTTCAAAAATTTACCCTCCAGTATGCTTCTCATGATTCAAGGGCATTCATGTTATAGGGAGAGTTGATTTTCGCAAGAGAATGTGTAGCGGTAGAAGATAAGGACATGCTGTCTGATAACTAAAGTAGATCCCTACCCGTTCTGAAGAGCGGGAGTCAATTCGATCAGGGTAATTACTTTAACGTTGACAGATGACTGATTGGACCTGGAATCAAGCCCCGCACATGGACAGAAAATTCGCGGTATTTGGTTGATAGAATGCCCATACACTTGTTAGTGCGCATGCACTCCCACACGCAAAGCCTAGCTTGACAACTGTTTGAGTGCTAGTTCTCCGTTGAGCTAGATCCGTCATACATAGGATTATTATTTACCATTTCGGGGGTCTACCCACTTCAGACAATCGACGGTGGCGGGGCGATATTCTGTTCACAATGTCTTTTTGGTAAGCTATCGAATCGCCTACTACTCGTGCATGGGCGTTCTGTAGATAGAGG